CGAATTTAAAACCAAGGTATGATACATTGGAAAACGAAGGCCGTTATTCTGGAGAATTGCCAAGTTATCGAACCGAAGGCCACCCTCCTAACCCATTCCTTACACCGGCACAAAAAAAAATTGGTGTGCGCTTTTAACCAGACCCACTTGCCGCAACGTATTTCGACCTACTGAATCCGAATCTGAGGCCCGGTTGACTCGTTTTTGCCATTTTTTTACAATTTTCGCAATTAACTCCAAATATATGAGGTGTACGAGTCAAGTGGACCTCAATACATGTCGATGTGTGGGTCTGGTTAAAATAATACTTTTTGTTGGCCAGTGTTATCGAAGGTATGACAAAGGATTCGTTTTCCAATTATTTAAGAAGTTTTAACCGAGCCAAATGTCCATATGACTGCTACCTCTTCTTCTATGTTGTATAGAAATTTCATAGCGATTACCAGTAGCTCACCAGAGTGACAGTATTGAAGTAAATGAACGTTATGCCCATGGGGTAATTTTTAAACATTTTTCAATGTGATTGAAAAAAAAATTTTACTTAAACAAATTTTTAAAACGTCGATACTTTTCGGTATTCGCGATATTTACTCAATACTTGTCAAAAAGTATCGAGTCTTCGATACTACTCAGTACTCATGAAAAGTATCGATATTTTCTACTCGGTACTCGTATCGTTCTATCACTAGCCAAAGTAAACTAATCACAATAGCCGTGTTTTATTTGTCCAGAAACTTAAGCTATTAGCTTATTTTGTATGGAGGACTTACCCAACATAATTATATTGGTTTATGAAAAGCTGTCTTGGCGAACAACTGCCAGAGTTAGGTTAACATAGGAAAAAAGCTAATTTCGTTTTATTTGACCAAGATTAAGCTATTAGCTTGTGATGGTTGAATAAAACATGCCTAATATAACCAGTAAACAACCTTCGGTAAATTTCGCGACTGCCTTCCTCGGGGATGAACATGCCAGGGATGAAGATATTGGTACACATGCCTTCTAAGCACGTAGGGTTGCTTTTGAGAAACAAAAAATAACTAACTCCAAATAGTTTCAAAAAGTATGGTGTAAACCGAAATTTACTGAATAATTCCATATAAAACGGTATACATAAATGACTCATTTTCTGAACGATTTAAATAAAACGCATTTCATAACCTTTTTTTTGCAAAGGGCATATGCCAATTGATAGAAAAGTACAACGGATTATAAATTTTTGTTAACTACGAGGTGAATGAAAATTTTCAACCCGGCCTGACGGTTTTGAAGTATTTCTTTGTTCTAAGGTTATTACTTAGACGTCTAATAAATGCATGGCTTTTAGTTCTAGAAGAATCAAAGTCAGTGAAGACAAGTATTTTTTATAATTTCTGCATTTTAATTTATCAACTTCTTTTGCACCAGAGCAACTGTCAAAAATTTCCAGCAGTAAAAAGTTACGAATTGGCACAGCAGAAATCGCCATAATAATACAATTTTTCAACATGGAACTTTTCTACTAATTGGCATGAAATTATTATCTCAACGCTCGAAACGCTGCCACTGAGGGCCTTTGCCAACTGATAAAAAATAGAAAATTTGGAAAGATCAAACAAAAATTTTGAGATTTCTCGTTGTGAATACGAACGCCATAATTTTTACCTAGCTCGTGGGACTACCATGATTCAATAAAACAAGGTTGGATAACCTGGCAGTTGTCTCGCTCCCGCATTCTGCCTTAGCTTGTGTTGCCTTCTTTTTTGAATTGTAGGAACTACTACTAAAATACATGGAGAAATATTGTCTTCGTATAAAAAGTTCAACAGGCAACACTGCCGATATTTTCATCGATTGTTTCGTGGAAATTCATTTACTTATTGGGCAAATTCAAGTAAGTATGGCAAAAAAAAAACAAAAATAATGGAAATATTTTGAATTACAACAATAATTTACATATTTATTTGCAGGGTATTGGAGTAATTCATAATTTGTATTCAAAAAGTAGCGTTTTACAACAAGTGCAGGCGTTGCAAGTAAGTTTTGCATGCTAGGATCCCTGTGTGACTTGGGTGTCCGTCCACGTTTGCTGGTGCATGCATTTTTACCACTGCAGCGTTTGGGTTGGTCAAGTGCAGCCTTTGCATATTTACAAGTAAGAATACCACTCCATAAAAGCGAAAGGGGAAATATTAATAAAGATATTTTCTTGTGCTCTTTGGGACTTACAAAAAATTAACATTTAAAAAAACGAAATGTAAATAAATTGCGATATTGAAGACATATTTTTAAAGTTTAACCGATATAATGATTAACAAGACTGATTGGAGAAAAAAAGTAAAAAACATTCCGCAAAAATTTGATTTTTAAATAACCAAATGTAATTAAATTGCGATATTGAAGATATAACTTTTAAATGTAACCAATATAATGATTAGCAAGACTGATTGGAGGAAAAAGTAGAAAACATTACTAAAAAATTTAAATTACAAAAAAGCAAATGTAATTCAATTTAAGATATTGAACATGTAATCTTTAAATGCAACAAATATAGTAATTTTTAAAAGATTAATTTATATGCATTAAATCAATTGCATCTTTACTATTTGTATAATGCTTCATATAATCCCTTTGAATAAAGGATTTGTTTGAATTCCATTCATTTTGTTTAATACATCCTGGAATTTCAATGAAACCATGGTTTATTTTGAATATTTGGAAACATTTCTTCAAAGATTTCAAAGATTTTTCTTTGGCAAGAATTTTATGTGAATATCCATTTAATTCATTTTTAATATTTATGTGGCCATAAAAAAGTAATTCATTGTCTATAGTGTAGATCAGTGGAGTTTTCTTTATATATTTAATTCAATTTGTATACAAAAACGCATTTTAGCACTACCAGACTACTTACTTTTCCTACTACCTTTTCACAAAAGAAGATAAAATTGTTACCCGCTTCTCTTTCCTTCTCAAATGCAACCTTACAAGGTAGTCGATTGACACAAATGTCAATATTTATCCGACCTTGTATTATTGAATCATGGGGACAACGCCATGAACGAAAGACACAAGATCACGTAAGAACAAGAGAGTGAAAAAAGTCGATTTCTTTTAGCGGGTTCTACGCCATCTTGTTTCACTGGAAAACGAGCGAAAAGTAAACAAAGCAAAGAAAACAACGAAAACCAAAATCAGCCAAAATTATTGTCAGCCACTTTAAACGCACAATTTAGGTAAAATGATGCAACAAAATGCTTTAAAATGTGTTGTCATGTTGAATTAACTCTTCTTTACTTGAATAAAAGTGTAAAATAGTGGTGCTTGTGATGTAAACAAACGCTCAGCTGACGAACCCGCTTTCGCAAACTTGTTTCTCAAAACAAGTTACAAATACAACGTCGCGTTCTTACGTGACCTTGTATTTTTGGTTCATGGGACAACGCAAAGTTTTGACAGCCTGTAAATATGTATACACAAAGTTGTTGGCGGTAATAAAGAGTCAAAATCAAAATGGAGAAAAGAACAAAAAGCTTACGTTAGTTATCAGTTTGTTTGATTTTTCAACACCATTTACAATTTTCTCTCAATAAAAACACGATTTGTCAAATGCGTAAATTTATTTAACTAATAATAATGCAGCACACAACCCTGAAATCTAAGAAAAAGTGTATGGAAGTCCATCAAATAGCAGCACACAACTACAGATCACCTAAAACTATGTTCACATTACCAACATAAAATACTTTGTTTCGTTTAAAATTCCTCACTAAATTAAGTGCGTTCTTACACGCGATTCTTTATTTGTGTTGACAGCTTTGTAGCAACCCTGTGTTATTGTTTATTTAACCAAAAGAGATCGCGAATGTGAGTAATTACGTATAGTTTTATATTCTGAGTTGTTTGTGGTAATTTTTTAGATTTTAGATGAGTGATCAAAAGAGAAAGCTTCTGGAAATATTTTACAAACTACCACGCGCGATTATTAAAAACAAAAGGCTCCAAACACAATGACATATCAGTTATGGGACAATACTTTTTTTGATTATTATCGATAAAATTAGAACCGACACTGATTTGTTCGTGATTTGGTTCTTGGTTTAAGATAAACTACGTACTTTCAACTTAATTTACTGAGAGACTTTACAAGGCGAAATTACTTAGTTTTACTTAATTTACATAATTTATTACGCTAATGGGAACATAGTTTAATCAGCCATCGTTGTATTTGTAATCGATTTTCAGAAAAACTTTTTCGTAGCGTTTTTGACGTTTTTCGGTTTTGTTTACACCGTCTCCCACTTCTTCGTAGTGATTTTTTAGCGATTGAATGTGTTTTCTGCAGCGATTAATGTTATTGAATCATGATCACAGTATAGACAGTAGCCAACCTGTTTGGGTTGTTGTTGTAGTAATCGTTGTTGTTGTAGTTTTATTCACCCTTGAGCATCATGAACCAAAAATACAAGATCACCTAATCAAAGAAGCAAGAAAAAAGTATATTTCTGAGCGTTTTTGACATCTGCCTAAGAATGAAAACAAACAAAGAAAACGAAAAAGGCGCTGTGATTGAGTGCGATGAAATTGGTATTTATTATAAAATATACAAAGTGAAACTTGATGACAATTAGCAAAAAAAGTTCATAAAATATGGTTTTCATGATTGAAAGTGTTTTGCAATCGCATATCATTACCATGCGCCGATTTTTCAATGCCAACGTTCTGGCCACAAAGGTGCACCCACTTTTCACGCAAATTTGGCAAACCAAACATACGCACAAACTTGTTCCAATCACACAGTACTTCATTTTATATTCATCATTCAATAAAAAAATCACTACGAAGAGGTAGAAGACGGTGTAAACAAAACCGAAAAACGTCAAAAACGCTACGAAAACTTTTTTCTGAAAATCGATTACAAATACAATGGCTGATTAGGTGATCTGTAGTCGTTGGTTCATGATTCAAATCTATCGATAGTGAATACAACCGAAACCCAGAATAGTATCGATAGTGTCATCGATAGTTTGCCACCACTGCACTACACTTCATTGAACGCATGTGTTTCTGTTTTTCTGCATTTTGATTACGCCTGGAATTAAAATTTTTATTTATCGCGATGAGTGACGACGAGGAACAATTCAATCCAAAAGCACATAAAAAGCTTTTGCAAGGTATCAGCAATTTAGGCAAAGTTCAACACATAAGGCGAACTACACGCAACGAGCCTATTAAACAGCAGGATGAGTTTCAACTGGTAAAACCAGCAGTTGAATCAGTTGCTCGCCATCCTGTGGGCATACATGACATTGTCAAGGTGTTAAAAACAACTAAAAGGCATATAGACGCTGGGAAGCAGTTGAAAGTCGTGCAGTCGTCGAAAAAAGTGCTTGCCAAACCCTTGGAAAAGCCACAAGCCGAACGTATTAAACGCGGACTCGGTTATGAGAAAGCAAAGAAAAACTTGGAGCAATGGGACGCCGTTGTAGCCCAAAATCGCAATGCAGAAACACAAGTAAGTGATTATATTTTGATTTGATTTGCATGATAGTAATTGTACTCGTCTTTTTACCTTAAGGTGTTTCCTCTACGTTCGGAAACTATATATGTAGATACATCCTTACACCGCGCACCATTACAACGGTCGCTTAAATCTGAATTGGCGCTCGAATTAGAAGCGGAGCAAGCGCGTTTAAAAGCAGCGAAACGGGCCTTGGCAGGTGAAACGGAAAATGAAGAAGAGCAGGTGAAACGTGAAGAGGAAATGCTACAGAGAAAACTAACTCGTGATGAACTTATTGCACGTCGTAGAGAGTTAGCGTATTTGAAGATCAGAGAGTCCCAAAAGTCATTAAAAGCACGGAAGCAAAATAAAATTAAATCGAAAAAGTATCACAAGTTATTAAAAAGAGAAAAAATGCAAGATCAAATCAAGCAGTTTGAGATCTTACAAAAAACCAACCCTGAAGCAGCTTTGGAAAAATTAAATGAACTAGAAAAAAGTCGTGTATTAGAAAGAGCTAGTTTGCGACACAAAAACACAGGGACTTGGGCCAAAAATTTGCAGATACGTGCAAAATATGATAAGGATGTAAGAAAAGACTTGGCTGAACAATTGCATATCAGTCGGCAATTAACTCAAAAGAAAAACGACACTGAAAATGAGGATGAAGACGACAAATTAACAAAAACTTCACAAATAGAAATTGAGAAAGAGGTGAATGACTCCGATCCATTTAATCCATGGACCCGTGTAGGCAATCTTCAAAATGAGATCCGACCTTCGGAACGCGAGGGAGAAAATTGGAGGAAATATTGGTTAGAGCGAAACGAAAATGATAAAATGCTTCATGAATATAAAAAGCTTTTGGCCGAAGAAGGAAATGAACGCTCTAATGATGGTGGTGATGAAGAACGACCTGCACGTAGTGATGAAGAACAGAAAATGGAGCATGAATTGGCATATACCTATGGTACTGAAAAATGTAAAGCTGTATCAAAAGATACGAGCATTAAGAAGAAAAAGATTAAAACTAAAACAGAAAATAAACAATTGAAGCAAATAAATAAAAAATCTGTTCAAGTCAAACAGGAGAATAATGAAAATTTAACTAAAGAACGGGTAGTTGAGGATATTAACAAAAGAGATTCAACAAATGTACCGAATAGCAATACTGAAAACAATATCGATGATATTTTTGATAAGCAAGAAGACAAAATTAAACGAAAAATGACTAAAAAGCTAAAAGAACTACAGAAAAAAGCAAAACTTCTGCAGAAGTCCCAGTCTAAAGATAAGAAGAATAAAAATCGTAAGAAAAAAGATGAACTAAAGAACTTGAAAGATTTAGCATTTAAAATAGAAGTAAAACGGCCAGTGATAGATGAAGAGCTTAATAATGATAGCCTGGAGGGGAGTAATGCTGAAGTGGATTTGAACAAAATTGTTACAGAAGTCGACAATAGTAAAAGTCTTCAACAAGCTAGAAACAAAGCAAAGAAACCATCATACGTACCTACTTCTTCTGATAACAACACAATTGCTACGATTGACCCAAATAAATTAGCCGACGTAAAACTTAAACATAATGTAAATAATTTTATCGGCTTGAACGATACATTAGCCGTTGATGATGATATTGATATGAGTGACGGCGATGAGCAGGAGAGGATGCATATGGATCAACAGATGACAATCAGTGAGGCATTTGAAGATGATGATATTATCGCTGATTTTACAAACGATAAAAAAAAAGATACAGAAATCACAAATGCAGAAATTGATTTATTTATGCCGGGTTGGGGCTCATGGGCAGGCGCTGGCATTTCAGCAGAACAACAAAATGCTAACAAAAATAAAAGACTTGTTCTTAAGTTAGCTAAAAAAGAAAAACGCCGTGATGATAATAAAGGTAGTCTATATATTAATGAGTCGGCTAGTAAACAGTTACGCACACACCTCGTATCTGATGTGCCATTTCCATTTACAAGTGTCGCTGAATATGAAGCAAGTATTCGTGCAACTATTGGGCGAAATTGTGTTCCAGAGACCGCTTTTCGCATGCTAACAAGACCAGCTGTAATAACACATAAGGGTCAGATAATTGAACCGATGGACAAATCGGAACTGATGAAACCTCAACGTAAATTGAGGCATGTTGTTGACAAACGCATAGCGAGAATGCAGGAAGTAAATGGTCCAGAAGCTATAACAACTAAATAAATAATCTAAGATAAAAATTGTATACTCCTAGTAAACAATATAACAGCAATGTACAAAAATTGCTAAAGCTGAATGTATGTACATAGTAATGACTGGATAATGTAAATAGGAATTTCGTTATGTATAATTGAAAGAATTAAGAGAATACATTTTAAACTACATTTCCTAAAGGCCAGTGTTTCAGTGCCAGTTTAAACTTAGATTAAGTAAACTGAGTTCAAATTGAACTGCTGGCTACATTTGATTGGCTGATCTTAGTTTAAACCAGCCAGATCGGGCGTTTAAACTTGGTTTAAACCACGACCATGCACTGAAAAACGGCCTAAGAAGTTGATTACGACTTTATTTAATCATAATTGGGGTTGTTCAATTGTTATGTATAATGAAAGGAATTAAGAGAATAAATTTTAAATTACATTTTCTAAAAAGCTGATTACGATTTTATTTAATCATAATTGGGCTAGTTCAATTGTTAAGGAAAATCTATTTTTATTTTGTCGATTTTTCAATGCTTATCTAGAGGACAGTAGGCAAACAAGCTGTTTATCTAGGTATATTAGGGAGTCTTCAATTCGAGCTTTTGTAGTTTTTCTCAGTACATTTTGCTTTTGTATTAGTTAAATTTAAGATGAATTTTTTTTTCCGCTCTACCGACTACCAAAGAACGTTCTTTGGTATAAATCGTATTAATTATCGCTTCTACTGGTGTGCGTACACACCATTATTTCTTGTTAACCTGCCATTTTCATTTTTCAACCCTTCGTTGGGCGCAACCGATCTGTGAGGTACAGCCAGCCCAGTTTTTTCACTGCGCTGTGCCCTTTCATACCGTTAACTTTGCTGACAATCAGTAGCTGCCTCTTTTGAAGTGCTCTATATAGCAAAACTACTCAGTGCAGAATACGGCCCGTTAAGGTAGAATAAAACGAAAAAGTGGGCGTGGCCCGCGCTTTTTTCCTGATTTTACAGGTATAAAATTTTTTTGGTGCAAACTTATATTTTCGGTGATATGGAGGGGTGAAGTAGGAATTTTCGAACATTTAAAATGGCTATATGTATTTCAAAAAATTCCTGACCGAATTTAAAAAAAAACAATGGTATGGTTTTTTTATATTCATATTAATATACTTTATGTGGATTAATTTTGAGAAAAAAAAAATTTTTTTTAAAAAAAAAACATTTTTTACCCAAGAAGGGGGGCTGACCACCTTTCTGCGTAGGCGGCCTTCGGCCGCACTTAGGGATTATAACCTTCATTCAGTAGAATTTTCCTTTCTGTGTTGCCAAAGAAGGGGAGCTAAACACCTTTTGCAGAGAACACCTTTCTGCGTAGGCGGCCATTGACCACACTTAGGGATTATAACCCTCAGGCAGTAGAATTCTCCTTTCTGTGTTGGCAAAGAAGGGGGGCTGAACACCTTTTGCAGAGAACACCTTTCTGCGTAGGCGGCCTTCGGCCGCACTTAGGGACCCTCAGGCGGTAGAATTCTCCTTTCTGTATTACCAAAGAAAACGGCAGAAGTATTTTTGAGCAGAGAGCGATCATAAGCATCAGTATAGTCATTTCTCCCTTCATGAACACCAGTAAAACAAAATTACTCACGGTATTTACAACTAACTATATAAAGTTATATGTTAAATGAAAGGCATTTTTATGCTCTATTTACCTACTATAGTTTGGTGTATCATAATTTACACATAGTTTTTACTAAAACTGGTTTTCTCCTAGAAAAATAAAATATTTTTCTATTAAATGAGTTTCCTTAAAAGAAAAAAAGGGATTTTGTTTACCTTTCTAACGATACCAATTTTTTTAAATTCAGTCAGGAATTTTTCGAAATATAGCCATTTTAAATTTTCGAAAATTCCCCCTTCGCCCCTCCATAGAACCGAAAATATAAGTTTGCACCAAAAAAATGATATGCCATTAAAATGAGGAAAAAAAGGCAGACCACGCCCACTTTTTCGTTGTGTTCTAGCGTAGCGGGCCGTATTCTGCACTTATGCCTTTGTTTGACTCCCCGAACAAGAAGTTATGCAGAATTTTATCTGATAAGCTTATTGCGCCCAAACTCGTCAAATGTATTAATGTATGTTAGTAATTTTCATTAGAGTTTGAATAACTCCTTTCACTAAATGCCTTTTAGTAACTTTAACGAGACCTTAACTTATTTTATTTTATTCATTTTAGTGCAGTTTTGACAAAATTTTCTTACTAAAAAATCTTTTGTTACACTACTTTATTTTATTCCTTTGATTGTACATGTTAAATAAAAGCTTGTTTTTAAAAAATAATTTTTTTTTTACATTATTTTATTCACATTTATTGTTGCTTTGAAAAAGATTTCTAAGATATCTTTGTTTGTTTGTACCTAATTAATGGTAATTTGTAACAATAAATTGCACAAAAAAAAAAAAAAATTGTACTCCTTTCTTATGTCATGCTGCTTTTTTTCTACCGAAAATATAAATGTACTCCTTTCTCCGTTTCAAAATCTGGCAACCCTAGGTACAAGTGCATGTATCAAAAGTAACGAGTAAAGTAACGATACGAAAGATACGGGTCAAGGCGAATTTATACAAGGTGGTGTTATCGGACCGCTGATTTCACGGCGAATTTGTTCATTTTGTCAAAATGGTGTGTTTGTTGTAATTTTGCTTTGTACTGATTGTCAATGTGCGTATAATTTGTTGTTGTAATATTTGTTTTTGTTCTGTCAACACCACCTTGTATAAATTCGCCTTGATACGGGTGTTGATTGGATTAGTAACGGATACATCCGGGTATCCGAAATTTCGTTACTTTTACAGCTCTACAGCTAACAATGAAGTAAAATTTTCTTTGATGTATGTATGTATGTACATATGAATGCGAGCGCACAATTGATAGTTTCTTTTTGATATGGTCAGACGTTTTTTCAGGGTACTTGGTTCAAAAGTATCGATGCCAAAATTTCTTGGTATCGAACGAAAGGTATCGAGTATGGACTTGTATTTACTCGTACCGTTTCATTCCTAGTTCTTATATTTTTTTGCAAATACGGACCTATATTTAATAAGAGAGTTATATATATTTACCCGTAAATTATGAGTATAAATGCTGGACGAGTTGCTGGTGACATGCTGTATGGCACCACACTCTCTGCCGAATCGATGAAAGTGATAGCGGAAAGCATTGGCGTTGGTTCACTGCCTGATGATGCAGCTAAGGAATTGGCGGAGGATGTTAGCTTTAAAATCAAGCGCATTGTACAGGATGCGGCCAAATTTATGCATCATTCAAAACGTGAGCGATTGATTTTAGGCGATATTGATCAAGCGCTTAAGGTGCGCAACATTGAGCCCCAATACGGCTTCACTGCAAACGATTTTATACCATTTCGGTTTGCCTCAGGTGGTGGACGTGAATTACATTTTATTGAAGAAAAAGAGATGGATTTGAATGATATTGTTCAAAGCTCTGCACCAAAAGTTCCATTGGACATAACGCTACGTTCTCATTGGTTAGTGGTGGATGGGATACAACCAACGATCCCGGAAAACCCACCACCACTATCCAAAGACTCCCAAGCTTTGGAATCTGTTAATCCAGTGGTGAAGTTGGAGCAGGGAGTTACCAAAGATGCAGCGGGCAAGCCAGCAACGGGGAAAATACATAAGTTGCGAAATGTAGAAACTGTGCATGTTAAACAATTGGCTACACATGAGCTGTCAGTAGAACAACAACTCTACTACAAAGAGATCACCGAAGCCTGTGTAGGTTCAGATGAACCGCGTCGTGGAGAAGCACTTCAATCGCTTGCCTCAGATCCTGGCTTACACGAGATGCTGCCACGTATGTGCACCTTCATCGCTGAAGGTGTAAAAGTGAATGTTGTGCAAAACAACTTGGCGCTTCTCATCTATCTAATGCGTATGGTGCGTGCGTTGCTGGATAATCCGTCTTTATATTTAGAAAAATATGTAAGTCATTTCAGATATTTTTAAGGTTTGCTAGTTAAGTTGAAAATATGTACAAACTTGCATATGTGCTCCATTTCAGTTACATGAGCTGATACCATCAGTTACCACTTGCATTGTTTCCAAACAACTATGTATGCGGCCAGAATTAGACAATCATTGGGCGTTACGCGATTTCGCATCTCGTTTAATGGCGATGATATGTAAGACCTTCAATACATCTACTAATAACCTACAAACGCGTGTAACACGGTAATAAGCTACATCTGATTCGGAAAAAGCTGTTATCTACTTTTGTTTCATATCTTAAAACAGAATATTCAGCAAAGCATTGCAAAATGACAAGACACATCTATCTTCCTTGTACGGAGCTATTGCCGGACTAACGGAAATGGGCGCCGAAGTAGTTAAGGTGTTCATAATACCTCGGTTGAAATTTATATCTGAACGCATTGAACCACTTCTACTGGGTAATCAAATGCAGAGCAACACAGATAAAACAGCAGCGGGTCACATACGTGCCATGTTACAAAAGTGTTGTCCACCAGTCCTCAAGCAGATACGTCGGTCGCCAGATTACACTGAAGAATATAGGTTAGCCCATTATGATGTTAACTAGTTCATAATAAAAATTCTATAGTTTTCATGTATTGGCTTCAGAAATGATTACGGCTTTATGGGACCAGCGTTGTGTCAGGCTGTGATAAAGGCACGAAACGCCCCACCATCGACCACCACGCCAACCCCAAGTAGCATTTCGAATGCGCCTATTACATCGGCGGCTGCTACAGCTTCGACAGTAGGGCGACCCCAAGTGACGCAAATCAGGTGATACACGGAAACTAAAATATTAAGCGTTTAATATTTTTGCAGTTTTAATATTTATTTACACTTAGTAGTCCCGTTGTTACGGCTATACCACAGCTGCGCGCAATACAACACCCAAGTCAGCCGCCACAAAAGTTTGTCATTGTTTCGCAGGCTACTACACAACAAGCTCAACAACCTCAACAAGCACAACAGCAACAGCAACAACAAATACCTATTGTACATCAACGACCGGCAACCCCACAATCGGTATTGTTGACCACACAACTAAATGGTAGCGGAAGTAGTGGAGGTAGTGTGGGTAATTCGCTTTTGAATAGGAGTGATAGAGTAAGTGTTAGCTTAGCCAAATAAAAATGAATCACAATCAAAATAAATAATTAATTAACAATTTCTGTTTAATTTTCAGACGTCGGTTGATTCAAACTCAATTATTATTGAGACGGAAGATATACGTGCTCCACCGGAGTTGGACGATTTATCACATTTGGAATAAGACAAAATTTCTATATAATATAGAAGTAGTTACGGTATATAGTATTTTAATTAAGTGTTAAGTCAATCGTGGGAAGAATAACTTTTTTTTATTAGTCTGAGTAAACTATTTAATTTTTGTAATATGGTGTTTTGAAGCCATACACATAGGATAAGGGCTTTTCATTAGAGCTATTCCAACTTGAAAAAAAGTTTAAATAAACATGCAGAGTTACTAAGATGTTTAACTTTTACATTTCGTTCAGTCTTTTTATCAAAACCAAATATCGGTTTAGCAAATGATGCCATATCCCTCCCACCAACTTATATCTTAAAATAATAATTTTTTAAAGTGTTTTAAGCTAAAAATTACTTTATTTTTTTTATTAATGCTGCTGTGGTGTAGTGGTAAGCAGTGCGCGCAAACCTCCGAGTATATTTCTGCCATGAAAAACTACTTCTCATAAAAATACAATCGCTAGGTGTGACAACATCAAAGCGCACGACTCAAATTGGAGGAGAAGCTCGGCCAAACACTTACATATGTGTAGGCGCCAATCTATTATTATTATTATTAATGCATATTATGAAAATATGTATAATTTTTCCGTTAGCCACAATTTTGTGTTTTTCGAATCCGATCAACCGTTTACCGCTTATTAATTTTACCCGTTCAACATGTTTTTGTTGCTTTCCGAAATATTAAAGCGCAGACAGTAAGTTCATTGATTTTTCACCGTTTCTAAATATTCGCCACTTGAGCTATGTCGGGCGTGGTGGCACAATTTGCATTGCACCTTGTTGTCTATTTCCAACCAACCACCCTCCCACCAAGTCAACCAACCAGCCTTACAATCACACATCCAGTACTTGGGTGTTATCAGACTTACACACCCTTACAAATTTAGCGCAGGCATACAAATACACACACATACATGGCAGATTTTAACAAATGTGCTCGTTCGCTTTGTAGTCGCACAAGAAAAACCGTAGTGAGTAGATACAAAATTTTTTAAATCTGAACAAAGGACAAGCTTTTCAACAAAGAAATATTAAAATTTCGCCTTAAAATAGTGAATTAGCCAACAATTAAATTTATAAATCATAAGTTTATTGAAAATACAATTGTAATGCGCGCACATTTTGCTGGTGATGTAGCCACAGCGGAGGCCCCAACAGATGCTGGTGAAGATAGCATTGATAAAATTGAGGCTGAAGCAGAGCCACTGGATGCACGTATCGACGAATTCAAACAGGACTCGAAGAATATGGAAGTAGTCTCAGAATTTATTGATGATGTGCTGCAAAAGGCCGAGGCTGAGGCTGTGAAGCAGCAGGATTCGAAAAATGACAAAACTTTGCAACAGGTAAAGGATTCAAGAAAAACACACATTGAAAAAGGAAATGGTTTACAATTGGGGGTTAATATAAATTACTGTGTGCCGATAAAAAAAAAATTGCTTCTTTATATTCTTATATTGCAGCCAAAGGAAAAAACGCGTCAGAGTAAGTTTAGCCAAATATTCATTTTGTTGTTTTGTGTGGTTTAACTTAAAATTAAAATGATATATTTACGTTACATATGTATGCATATATTTACATAGCAAATACAAAAACAATTGCACAAAATTATGGAAACTTGAAAGTATCGGGAGCATAGTCACGCACGCATTTCGTTGTGTAGAAAACACGCTCGCACGATTCCTTGTAGTTTTTTTCTGCAAAATATAATATATAGGATGGCATGAGTATATTTGATAGAAAAATTAATATTTATCTTTGTAATTTCAAAGAAACTAATATTATTTTTTGATTTGTACTTACGCACTTCCTTGCAAGCGTTCATTGCTTCCCTGGCTGTGTCCTGCATCTCAGGTGGTAATATAATTGGAATTTGTGCCAACGCTTTTTGCACGCTAAAATCACCCTTCTTAGTTAACTATAAATAGAATGTTAGACGAAAGTAGATGATCATGATTGCACACATACGACAATTTTGAGGAGTTCATAATTTTTAATGTTGGAAGCGAAAAAAATAGATATTTGAGCCTTTATATCGTTACCTCAATATAGTAGAATGCCCTTAACTAATTTTCATTCATGCATATTTTGGAAGACATCTCTAAAGAATCGAATACAATTTATAAACAATTACTAAATCGATAAATTAGTTACAGCGCTTTGAAAAAAAAAGTTCGTGCGTAAAGAATTTCAATATTTTAATGTTTTTTTATCTCATATAATAGAAAACTAAATATCTTATATAGGGAGTTTATAAATGAGGGTAGCGATACATAGGAATATATCGTTACTATAATATGTAAAACCCCTAACTCATACCGTTTTTAGAATTTAAAGACAACTACTACATCAATAAATCAATAATAAAAAACAATGTTTTGAAGGAATTTGTAACCGAAAAACATAGCCTCATTCATAAAAAATAAAGCAGGTTTAAAGAGCTTTATAAAATAACGTTTTCATAAATTTCTCAGTTTCTAAACCTCTTTTAAAGCTACTTAATTTTTTATGAATAAGGTCATTAAAGTTTTATAAAGTTTTTTTGATTACCCTTATATATGATAGACCTTTCTATGAAAGTAACGATATGTATCTCTACGTAAATACATACATGGCTACAAAACATAAACATATGTACATCTAGAATATATGTACATAGTTATGCACAATAGATATACGCGCAATATAAAATAAAATAAGGAATTCATTGATAGAAATGAATGTATGTAATATACATTTCGTTAAATGCAACTTACCGTTCCTGCTAGTTGTGCTACGCATCTGGTGTAACACTTTTTTATTTACAAATAAATAAAAATTATTAGCAAAAACGTTACACTTGATTTCAATATGATTTTTTATTCTACATTACTTTCAATTCAGAATTGTTTTCCACAAAGTCACCATCTCTTAAACGGTCTAGTAGTTCGACTGGAATTTTGAATTTCGGAGCACAACCATTGCGCATCATATCCAATGAAGTCTCGAACTGTTGCATTGTTACCTGGAATGTATGTATGTAGAAATAAAATGAGGTTATTTGTATATCAAATTTCAAAGAAGCAATAACTTATCACCCCAGACCTAACTGCAAACGTTAATTATTGAAAAATATCCGATAGCAACGAACTAACTCATTGCACAATTAGGAAAAAATGGTTTGGCACATTTACGTCCGTTTTTGTATTAAAATCTGTTAACCTGTGACGTAACACCTTCTCATAAAAAAAGAATTATAGTAATCGGTTAACGTGGTCCACGTAGGATGGTTCCGTGCGCAGAAGTGCAAAACTTTTGACTGCCATTCACCTGGGAGTAGCCAGAAGTGATTCTTGTGCGTACGGTTCAAATCGCAGCTTACAACGTCCGGATATTTATATCCACGTATCCTCTGGGTAGCAACCAAACACCCGTTTGGGAGCGAGCTAAAGTGCGAAGGCGTAAAACTTCGCGTACGCTGGGTTTGGGTCGTTGGGACGTTAAAACCCCGCCCAATGAAAAAGAACAAACAGCCTCGGATCGGGGTCTCCTTTTTTGATGACGATTTAAGGGTATGCACCTGGAATATCCGGACCCTTAATGGGGACGGTGCCTCTGCCCGGCTGGTTGATGTCCTCGGGAAGACAAATGCTGACATCACCGCCATCCAAGAAATGCGATGGATGGGGCAAGGAAAAGTAAGCGTAAAGCCTTGCGACGTCTACTACAGTTGCCACGTAAAGGAGCACAAATTCGGTGTTGGATTCGTGGTAGGATAGAGACTCCGTCGCCGAGTACTGGCGTTCATCCCGGTGGACGAACGTCTAGCCACAATCCGCATCAAAGCTAGATTCTTCAAAATCTCCCTCATCTGCGCCCATACCCCGACTGAAGAGAAGGACGAGGCGTCCAAGGATCTCTTCTATGGGCGCTGGAACGTACATATGAGCGCTGCCCCCGACACGATGTCAAAATCGTGCTTAGCGATTTTAATACCAAGGTGGGCAAGGAAGGAATCTTTGGCGCCACTTTCGGAAAATTCAGCCTCCGAAACATGGTAATATGTAGTACTAGGCCCCAGCATAAGATCATCCACCAAGCTACATGGCTGTCTCCAGATCGAAAAACGAGAAACCAAATCGATCATGCTGTGATAAACGGAAGGCGTATTAGACGTACGTACACTCCGAGGGCCAAACATCGACTCGGATCACTATCTTGTTGTAGCCAAGATACGCACCCGCCTCTGTGCAGCAAAAAATGTGCGCCAAACAATGCAAGGAAAGCTTAACGTCGAAAAGCTGCAATCACAACAGATGACCCCATGATTCAATAATACAAGGTTCGATAAACTGACAGTTGTCTCTCTCGCACCGCTCCCTTAGCAGTGGCACCGTGTTGCTTCTTTGCAAATTTACTTGGAAACAGTGTAGCTTTGGTGTGAAATAAAAGTATAAGCTTTTGTGCAATATGTTTATTTGTTGATGCGTATGAAGCATATTTAACTGATGAAAACATAAGCATTGGATGTTTACATCAATTTCATAGTAGTCTTATTTTAATTTTGAGTCATTTTGCATTTTTTATACAGCTAAATAGCATATAAATTACGTAATTCACGTAGGTAAATCAATATTACGTTCAATATTTCGTTTAAAATGCCAGATTTCCTGCAAATACATTAGAATTTACAAAAGGAATTTCACTACTAATTGCCTACTTTGCGTACTTTTCTACTACCATTTTCGCAACAAGGGAATGCGTTCTTGCCCTTTCTCTGTCTTTCGCAAATGCAACCTTTTGTAAGGGAGTGTCAAACCGCAGCTGTCAATAATTATCTAACCTTGTATTATTGAATCATGAGATGACCCATTTAATTTATTCGCCACTCGACTCACACACCTGCTCTCTGAGAGCACTCTTCACCAATCCGACATACGCGAGCAGTGGAACCACATTTCCCGATCATTAAGTACCGCCGCACACTGGGGCCGCCCCATATAAGCGGGTGCTCAAAATTCTGAAATCATTTTCTTTCCATTAGACTCGCTTGAACTACTTTTTAAGAGTAAATTTTTGACGTATTAACCCATTATTGATCATGCATTAACCCATTGGTGACCCATGATTCAATAATTAATTAAAGGTTTGCTCATTATTGACATTCGAGTTTTGACACTCCCTTAGCTCCCTTACAAAAGCTTTGCACACACACACGAACCCACACACAATGCTTTGCTAAGGGAGCCGATTTTGTCAAGAGGGAGCGAGAAAACTGCTTTTTGAGCAAACCTTTTATTATTGAATCATGTTGGTGACCCAGGTTTTTGTAATATCTTATGTTAAGTTAATTCGATTTTATTATTGTGCAAATTATAAATAATTTAACCCATTTACGACTTTGACTTAACGCATTGATGACCATATTTTAACCCATTAATGGCCAATTTTTTAATACGAGTCCTTTCGATTTGAGGATAGCTTTATCAATGAATTCGCAATAATTAAAGCTAAGTTAAAATGTAATACAAATTTACGTTTTAATTGTAAAGCACAATGGACCACCCTTGAGGTACCACCTTTCCGATAAGAAATAATTATGGAAATCGGTTAACGTGGTCCAAAGTTATGCGGTAACATACATTAAAAAAAATCCCGACGAACTAATAACCTCCTCCTTTTTTTGAAGTCGATTAATAAAATTAAAGTCAAAACTTTTCAATATGTGGGTGTCTTATAGGTATGATGAGCACTATTAAAAGGATTTTGAGTATGCAGTTTTGTAACCCATTTATTGTAGTACATAAAGAGCAACTTTAAAGTAGCTAGGACTTACGTATTTCCATACGAAGTATGTCCGACGATTTTTTTATTTGTAGAAAATGAGCGACACCTTCACAAAAAAATTTGCCAAAAATCAACGGCATGTCCTAGCTACTTCCGACTTGCACTCAAAATCTTTTTTAAATATCTAATTAAAAACATCGATATTTTTACGAGGTTTGAAGCTTAGATTTATTCGATTTTTGTTAAGAAATAAACTATATTTTTATAAAAAAAAAATAATTAATTTTAAATAATAATAAAAAATAGTCAAAACTTTTCAATATGTGGGTGTCTTATAGTTATGATAAGCACTATATAATGAAAACTGTGACTTATTCTTCATAGTCGGAATCTAAATCCCATCCAAGCCCCGTTCAACTAATATAATTCCTTTCAAGTTCTACAAACTCCATTGCTTCAGCAAAGAAAGATCTCCGGTTGGTGACCACTGGCAACAAGTGCGAGCAAGTAATCAGAGGGTCTAATGAAACTAACAATCTCCTAAATTGTCAGCGCGGCCCGTTTTCCTACTATAGATCTAAAGTTTTTTAGGTCCTTATTCGAACTAAATCCGCTTCTCACTAAAGATTTTTAAGTCCTCGTTAGAACTAAATCCGCCTTTTATTCATTGAGCAACCTCTAACTAAAAAACAGTTTAAGTTCGAAATGAAACAGAATCAAAGTTAACCAGAAGTATATGTTTTTGTGTTTAATTAAAATAAAAGTGAAATTTTTAAAACCATTTTATTCAAAAATGCGCAAAGTGCTTTTGGTTTTGAATCCGGATTTTTAGTAAAGAAGGAACATACTTTATTGCAGTACTGTCAAATTTAAAAGCGCTTTGAGCATTAAAAAAAAGTGATTTTGAAAATTACACTTGCAAAAAACAGAGGTAAGTTTAGTTTTTTGTTAATCATAATTTTTTTAAAACACATAATTTCAAACAAAACACACCAAAAGAATAAATAAGCTTCATTTGAGGTAATGCAAAAAACAAAATAACGAAATATAATACCACTTTCTTACAGTAACAATTCGAATTGCACATTTGAATTTTAAAGTTTTGAAAAAACCAGTTTTTTGTTCAAATTTGTCAAGCTTGGACACGCATATCTCCTAGCCGAAAAACGATAGAAGGCTGAAAACTTAGCTTTAAATGAAGAATTTAATAGGGAATAAAGCTGCGTTTTTGTTTGTCCAAAAACTATTTTTTCAAAATTGAATTTTGAGCACGCTTGGCCCCAGTGTGCGCCGCCGTAGAAGTAGTTGGATTTCAGCGAGCCCGAAAGAACAACTGGTACGATGAGGAATGTTAAGAAGCCGCAGAGAAAAAATGTACTTAAATTGTGGAGGGAACACTTGTATAACCAACTCAATGGTAGCAGCGCTGAAAGTAGTAAAGAAGACGAACCCGAGTCTCCAGTCGATGTTGATGGAGTAGCTGTCCCACCGCCTGATTATGACGAGGTACGAATAGCGATTACGCGGCTGAAAAACAACAAAGCTGCTGGAGCTGACGGCCTGACAGCCGAGCTATTCAAGTACGGCGGCGAGGAGCTGATGAGGTGCATGCATCAGCTCGTATACAGAATATGGTCAAATGAATGCGTGACCGACGACTGGAATTTAAGTGTGCTCTGCCCAATCCACAAGAAAGGCGACTCCGCCATACGCGCCAACAATAAGGTCTAATCGAGTGTTTTATGCGAAAGACTGTAGCCCACCGTCAACGAACTGATTGGACCTTATCAGTGTGGCTTTAGGTCTGGAAAAATCACCATAGATCAGTTATTCACAATACGCCAAATCTTGGGAAAAGACCCGCGAGAATAGGATCGACACACACCATCTATTTGTCGATTTCAAAGCCGCTTTCGATAGCACGAAGAGAAGTTGCCTCTATGCCGCGATGTCTGAATTTGGTATCCCCGCGAAACTAATACGGCTGTGTAAAATGACGTTGAGCAATACCACCAGCTCCGTCTGAATAGGGAAGGACCTCCCCGAGCCGTTTGATACCAAACGAGGTTTCAGACAAGGGGACTCTCTTTCGTGTGATTTCTTTAATCTGATGTTGGATAAGATAATAAGAGCCGCAGAACTGAACCGCTCAGGCACAATACTTTACAAGAGCGTACAATTACTGGCGTATGCCGACGACATCGATATTATCGGTAAAAACAAGGGCTACGTCTGTTC